AAAAAGTTTGAAACTCTTTTTGCAATAAGTTGTCAAGATCCATATTTCATTATTTGAGGCAACAGAAAGTCTCGAAACATCGTGAACATCAGAAATGTGCTCAATTGTGATTGGAAATTATGGCAAAATAGTTGTGTCCTGCCCTAGAAGTCGGTGGTCATTTGCTTGATATTGTTTTTTAACTAAACGATTATGTTACATATTGCTATAAAGTCTTGAATTTTGTTATTTGGTTTTCGTTTTATTTAATAAAAACATCTGAAACTTCTTATTGGAACATCTATTATTTCTAATGATACACGTAATTGTACGTATCTAATTTATAATAAAAGATCTTCCTCTAAAATCATTTTTTATTTAATGGCGTCACTTTTTTGTGAGCTATAGGCGAGCTTTTTTTTTATACTGGAATTCCACATCGATTCCTGTCATATGACGCCATAGATTAGTTATCGATGGATCGATATGTTGAATAAGAGAACATCATTTAGCCGGGTCAACATTTATGTGACTTTCAAAATTTTCCACCACCTCAGAAAACAGGGCCATATGCAATGCCCAACCTTAAAATGACAATGCCATACAAATAGCCAGTAGGTATTGAGCATCAAAGCACACGCCCTAAAGTTTCTTTATTCACAGCAAAACGCGGCAACACTGGCAACTTGCCACGTTTAAATTCCTTATATCCCAGTATTGCTCTCTAGACTACCGTCCCTCATCACCAATAGCCATCAGTCACATTCAAATACAGGCCCTACGCTTACCTTCATTCGTATCATTTCTTCTTTTGTAATATTTTACTTATTATGAATTATTGTGTAACTGATATTTCGTAAATTAAAATAGTAAGAGATGTCTTCGAAAAAAAGCCATGACATGATAAGTTGAACAAGAACAAACTTATTCTTCAACACAATTAGATACAGAAGATCTAGCAGTCTACAAGTTGTGCAATTCCTGATGATATAGCTCAAATTGGAAAATTCTTAATCAACAAAAATTAAAACTTTCAGAGATTCGCTTTGCTTCAGTGGCAAGTATTCGACTGCTTCATGCGAATCTACCTTTCCATGAATAAACCTCAAAGAATGTCATTGGCTCACGAGAGGACGGCAGATCTAGTGTTTTTTGCATTTAAAAGGAAGACAACGGAGAAAATAGATATCGATGAACTGCTATGAAAACACAAAATATGCTAAAGCAAAAGCTTCAAGTATACTAAATATTTATATCGTGTTTTTTTTTTCTAATTTTATGTACTTCTGAATTTTTATAAAGGTATTTGAAAACACATGTAAGTTTATTTATTAAAAAATTGTTCATTTTTAAAATAATTCTCTCTTCGCCTACGACTCTATCACATATCCTTGACCTTCTTCATTGTGCGCCATTTTAAATTTCGGATATCCTACTTAAAAGATTGGTTCTGTCTATAGCCCAGTCGGAACAACGGTGGAACGATTGACTAGTTCGGTGAAAACTTGAATCGAATCTAACGCAAAACCACCGGTGAATAAATTAAACATAATTTTTGCGAAAGTGGAGCCACCGATAAATAAAAAAACTCGCCATGGCGTACACTTATTCCTATAGCTAACAATTACGTTTATGAAAACAGTTAATTTAACATGCATTATGTTACATTCATGACAATTATACATTGAAAACTTGAATTACTTTATAAACTTTAAAAATAAAACAAATAACTATTTGTTCACGTCTGTTCTAATACGTTAAATTTATAAATCAAATAAACAGTGGTTAATTGTAATTATTAATCAATTATTCTATATTCAGATATGTCAAAAACTTTCTACCATAATCTTCTCCAGGGTACCACAGCAGAAACAATAGATAAGAAAAGCAGAGATCATTCATTGAAAATTAATTTACCATGATCTTCGGCGTTGAATTGAATTTATTTTGGCCAATGGAAATAAAGACCTTTATCATTATTACTTTATAGGTTAAAAATCATAGGAGTGAAATTTTCACTGAAATTTTAGTATATACGGCTAGGTATAGTTATCTCAGAATTCGGTGGGAAAGCGTGTAAAGATTATTTTTATCTACCCGAGTCAAGTACGTCATAAATAGCATGATTCATTATGCCGATAAGAACGATTTCATTTGAAGTAAATCAGGCACGTACTGAAATGTTACAGGGAAATTCAACCGTGGGATCAACGGATTCGGTGATGTCCCAGCGAAAGATGACCACGATTATTGTGACAAAGTCACAAAATTTTCCTTTAGTTAACTTATAAAAATGTTTAATTTAATTTAGTTTCAATTTTTAGAATGTTTAGTTTAAGTTAATTCCCGCCTATTAACGTTCTAAAAAACCCCCATATTTTTATTTCTTAAAAATTCCCGTTTTTACACATTTGCGAGAAACCCCGTAGTTCAAAATATATCATTATTTACTGAAATTCGAATCAAGCTTTGAACGCTCAAATTCGGGTAAATTCTGATTATTTTCGTAAACGTCAAAAGGACATTATTTCAGTCCTCCGATTTGTAAATATTGACTACTCCCACTCCGAACCACCCGGGAACCGAACTAGTCCGAGCGTAAAAAGTATAGAGTTGGCTCCCCGAGGATTCTCGTTCTCTTTGCTGCAGCTCTTTTTCTGCTGTTCTGAACTGCCGAAAAATCTTTTTGTCGCCTGTACTGACCTGTGGAGAACTAAGGTAGGAATCTTTCACTGGTAACCTTTCTATAAAGATTTATTTTAATGTTCTCATAGTCGACCGCCATCAGTCAAAATTAGCAAGAAATTATTTGCTATAGGCCGAGGAAAAATTAGTCTTTACTAGTCCCGAATTTTGAGCCTCGCATGTAAAATTTTTGAACTTTCGTAAGGGAGACCAGTCAAGTGATATCGCAATCTGGTTTCTTAAAGCCTCCATTATAATTAATTTCCCAACTTTATTCGGAATACCGTTTTGTGAGTTCTGAAGTTACGTAAGTGCAGCAAGTCAAGTCTTACTTCGCAGACTTAATTTCTTAACATCAAAGGTTCTTCGCGTCAATAGACCTGTCGCGATTAATTTTTTTTACTTTATTTTATCTATTCTTTCGAGCTTTCCGTTTATAAATATATATTCTGAAGATTCAATTATACTGTTAATTGATTCAGTTTTTCTACGCTTATTAAGAGCATCCGTCTTACCGATTGATATTTATTTTATTATTTTTGTGGCGATTGTAAAAAAAGACTACGATTATTTGGATTTTGTATTGCTCCACCGAGGTTGCCGTGAAATATATTATTCTGTATAAACTTCTTGTGTTTTTTTTAACTATACCTCCTTCTTATTTAGCACGTCCAGAATCACTTTTAGTGTAAAATGTACAAGGTGATTACTCCGTTTAGGTTGAGTGAGGTGGATATTATTTTGTTTAGGTACTACCTGGATTTTACTTACTTCACTGGGGTTACTTTAAGTACACTCTAGAGGTGTACTCGAGGGTCGCAGAGCAAACTACGTTATCAAAACTGGCGTCCGGGCAACCCTAGTTCTAGATAACGTGCCACCCATGACTTCCACTTCCAAGCAAATTAAGCAAGAAGACATGTCGCAGGATTGACCAATGTTCCTTGAATTTCACAACTAAAATATCTCTATCGATAATGTGTTGTTACTATGAGCAAAAAATATTAAAGATGCATCATGCGACTATCACAATGATATGGAGAGTACTCTTTTTGAGTCATAGTTCAAAGAAACTTTACTCCCAAAATTGCCAAATCACTCAAGATTGGTTAGAAAAATTCCTAATTTTCCTGGAAAAAAATCGCAAATAAAAGAATTTGTATGGGATAAATTTGTACTTCGAAGAAAATTACAAAAAAAATCAATTATTACAGGTCGTATCTAAAAAGGATTATAAAAAGAAGTATGTTGTTGATAAATTAGCTGCGAATAGTGGACATTCTATTTTTAGACTACCGCCTTATTTTTGTATATTAAACCTAATTGAGTTCATTTGGGCGCAATTTAAAACTAATGTAAAAAGAAATAATACAAAGCCGAAATATTTTTCAGCTGTAGTTAATTTAATAAAAGAAGCGGGAATAAACTACACCGGCAAGTTGGGGAAAAGTAATAGACCATGTAATTGGGGCGGAAAAGGAATTATGAGAAATATTTGCCAACACTTATTAAATTATAAATGTAGTATTTTTATCAACCTAAAAATTTTACTTTTTATTAGAAAGAAAAAAATGTTTATTGTTACCAGAAAGTAAACTAATATATCTATGAATTAGGACAAATATAATAGTTTTTTTATAATATAAATAAATTCATATGGAACTTATGGCACACAAATAAAAATTTTTATTTTTTTTTAAATTCGATAAAAACAAAAGTATAATAATAAACTTAAACAAATATCACAAGTATTAGAAATTAAAAATTTAAAAAAACCGACTTCAAAAACGTGCAGATGCCGTCACCAGATCTTAACAAAATGTATGTGGGACCACCCCTGAGGTATCTCCTTACTAACAAAAAAAGAATCATATAAATCGGACAAGGTGGTAAAGCATTATCGCTAAACATACATAAAAAATGAAGAGTTTGAGGATTTTCTCAATAGGGTATCTGAATACAATTCTGTATTATAATCCGCCGAAAGTGTACATTTTCCACCGAATTCAGAGGTAACTATACATATTACGAGCTTATAATTCAACGCCTGGAGGGGCATTATAGCATGGTTGTTTAATGATGAATACGGTCACATATATTCTAATGGTACAGTACTGGGACATGATAACAGTAATTTTCTTTATTATTTACTTATGACATCATCCTGTATTTTGGTTTTCTATTTTCGTAGAAAATTGTTAAAAAAATATTTGATAAGTTATTGCTTACTGCCTTTGGCATTATTGCTTTTAAAATGTTATGTATTTTAATTACTCCTACTAACTATTAACCCGTTTTGTTTCTTAAATATTTTAAATTTGCTAGATGGCTCGAACCTTCCTATGTACTAGGCTACCGGACGACATTTTATCATTATTATCATATTCTTGTGCTTTTATGTACAACAAAACACCGACTATCACAGTTATTGTGCCTAAACCGCTGAGCAGCGTCACTGGGTTGCCAAACATGATCACCGACAGCCATATTAAAAACGCTCGCTTTGCGGTATTTGCCACACTGAAAATAAAAAAACATAATATGATTATAGTACTTAATAATCTACGAAGGCTGTTCCCTTTCTGCTGAGCCTATCTAGTAGGTGAAGATATTTTTGCAGCAAATTTTGTCTGACATTTCAATCTAGTTGTTTACAAGTTTAGTTAGTGACAGTTGTTCCATCCATACAATTTGTATAAATGGAACGATATTTTCAGAAGTGGCGTAGCTCAGTGCTACACTTTCGATGCAAAGGAAAAGACCTTATGTATATGAATGTTACCATCAGAAACCAATTTAATAATATTTTGACGTGACGTTACCGTTCCTTTACGTGACGCTGATGTTCCGTATAGTGCCAATTGACCTTAATCCTTTCGCCAATTAGGTATTCCAAACAAAATGGTTGCCTGTAGGCATTGATATGGCAACACTGTGGGTCTAGTGGATTTGACATGGTCAATGGTATAGTTAGTTTTGTAGATTGATCATCCATGTTTTTCAAAATAAACATAAGCTTATGCTTTGAAATAAAATGTAGGTAGTAATTTTTTTACTATATTCAAAGGCTGAAAATTGGTTTTAAAACACATTTTGACAAAAAGATTTTGATTATTGGGCACTTGCGAGGGCTCTTGCAATGCAACCCGCTTTGAGCAATCTATATAAATAAATCATTGACCCTGTCAAAGCCACGAGACCCACAGGGTTGCCATATCAATGACCACAGGCAGAAGTTTGACAAGTCGTTGGAATGCCTATTAAATAATATAAATGAACAAGGAGCATTATTGGGCTGCGATTTTTTACAATTTCAAGCGTGGCTTAAACCGTAAATAATGTTATGAGGTTGATTTCCTCATAACAAGGTGACAAGTCGTGTTCCGTCGCTGCCGTAAAGTGGTGATATAATTTTGATCTTATTCGGAACATGATTAAAAAAGGGGACTGGCACATGACTGTCAGAACATTCCAGAAAGTTTAAAGATTGGTGTGAAAGCAATTAACACATTTTACACAAACATTTGAAAAAAAGAAGACCGTGTTAGATGGTGTAGATAGATCTACCCTAGATCGCTTTGACCGTGGATCGTCTAATTGTACGTCATCACAGATGATGAAACATGGGTATACTACTATGATCTCAAAAAAAAGAAACAATCGTCAGTTTAATGAGTCGGCACAAACAAAAGTTGTTCGAGAAAAAAAAAGAAACAAAAAGATGGTCGCCACTTTTTTTGGAATTACTAGGCATGTTTCTACTGTAGCATTTGATGATAAACGTATTGTTAATTCAAAATGGTACACTACAATTTGTTTGCTTCAGGTTCTCCAAAAGGTTCGCAAAAACCGTTCAAGAGGAAGGATCATCTTGCAAAAAGATAACGCTTGGCTCACAGAGCTGCTCGAACAAACGAGTATTTGAATGCCCAAAACACAGTCCAGACCTAGCACCTAATGACTTCTTATTTCCGCAGGTAAGGGATAAATTACGGGGTTTACGTGTTACATCGACCGAAAAAGCAGTGGACTCCTTTAAAAATGAAATAAACTACGGCCAGAATATTGGAGAAATTGTTTTACTTTACTATAGGCTCAACGGAAAGAGAACTGTCCCCGTATATTCTGTCGTGTAAGCCATTTTCAACCAGTCCTTTAAGACCTCCTCTACCTTATTTAGGCCTCTTACAGCTTCCACTTTTATGATTACCAAGAATATTCGATAATAGGTAAACCTCCCCTCCCTATACCTCTCACCAGTGATACGCTTACTTGTTCACGTCATCGTTCTACTGCATTCTAGAATGGATGGTTCCCTACTACTAGCCATGATCAAACCTAGGCGTATGACTGGTGAGGTTTCAGATGTTTACCCACTTTATCGAATATTCTTGGTAATCGTGAAAGTGAAGACCGTAAGAGGCCTAAATAAAGAAAGGGATTTATGAGATTATAACATGATCGGACTGGTCGAAAATGGCTCGTACGACAATTATGTTGCTTTTCTATGTAAAAATTAAATTTGGAATCTTAATCGAAAAGTAGGTATTGTCTGTTCCAACTTATATGGTGTTGCCTTCCTAATTACATAGTATGTTTAAAGCAAAAACTTCATAATCGTATGTTATATCCCAAAAAAGAAAACATTTACTTAAAATAGTTTTTATTAAGACGAGGACATTTTAGAAAAATCAAAAATTAGCGTAGTTTTTCAAATAGGTAGTATACAAGGGGATATTGATAAATATTTAGCCTCCATACAAAAAGGCACAATATTTCAAAACAAAATTTATTTTTTCAACATAATCTCTTTTAAGACCCACAATTAGCACAACTTTTATAAAGTTATTGGAAGTTCTCTAAAAAAAAATCTTTGTTTTGGTATGCAAACAACTCCAAGCAAGCCGAGGACGCATGAGCATGCAGATGTGGACGAGCTTCCGAGGAGCGGCAAATTGCGCCGTGCGGCCTAGCCCCGATCCGTTTGTTGGCGGTACATCAAAGGGAGGCAATGCGCAGTACGTGCTCAGTCTGGAAGGGGAATTTGTGCTATACACCATTTTTGTTTTAATTATACGAGTGTTCTGGGTGTACGGTTCCGTGCTTGCGAATTCACTGGATAACTGATCCAGGATCAGTAGCAAACAGTGCCTCATGCGTCTACCATTCGTGTGCACAAAATGCGCCACACGAGGCATTTGATTCGGCCTCGGCTTGCCTCATACGCGTACGTGCTCTCAGATCTGTACCCGCCTTAAAGGCAAATCATTTTTTGAAAGAAAGAAAAAAAAAACTTTCAAGTGTTTCTTAAATTCTAGGAATATATTTTCCATATCTCAATAAACGACTCGTAAGCAGACGCATTGTCTTGTAATTGACCAGTTTTCTGTGGCAGTTTTCCACAATATTCCCACGTAATCTAATTAGCAGTTCAATATATGCTTGAATGATAGTCTTATCCTCCTCTTCCAAATAATCTTTCAGAATTATCCCATTCTTGCTAGCCAATTTTTTAACATTCCGATCACCATTCGAGCATTTCGGAATTCATAAGGCAGAAAGCTCTCTCATTAGGGTGAGCCAAAATGACTAACCTATCAAATTTATGGAGTCAAAAAAATCAACTCCAGAGTATTTTTTTAGAGAATTTCATGCCCTACAAGAATATGCCTGGATAAAGTTTCTATCTCAAACGGTTAAAAAATTATAGCATTTTTAATGGACAAAAATGTTTTGCGTGTTATTTAAATGTGAAATTCCAAATGGCCACCACACCTTTTAAAATTGAGCTAAAAATTTTTCTCAATGGAAGATTTTTTTTTTCAACATAGACCCTTTTGGGACCTCTAATTTGATAGGTTAGTCATTTTGGCTCACTTTATTTCTCATATTCAAGTCGCAATTAAAGATGTGAAATATTATGTCCATAATATGCAAAATTCCTGCTATACGCTTGGGTCCAATTCGTCGATTTGCTAAAATTTAACGTGGACATAATCAATGTTTTCCAAAGCGGACACACAAATTGATCTTCCAGAACGGTTCTCATCTTTAACATCTGATCTTCCCTTCTTCCCATGACATAGATACTTAATAGATGACCGAATCTCCGTTTTCAAAATTTAAATCTCTTTAAAAACGCAGTTCTACCACCTTTCAACTTATAGATGTCAAATTATGACAACGTAGTTATCAGTGTAACTATAACTCTGTTTTTAAACTAAGAGGAGCGATTTGAATTTATGTTGGCAATTCTGTAGCCTTCTGATTGGTCAGATTACAGTCAGTTTCACACATTACTTTTTAGCATGAACATCAGCTAATATTTGATATTGTTGACAGTTCTGACATTTTATAATTTGATATCTCATCCATTACTTAGTTTTTTTACTTTATTTCGTAAATAATAGTTCTTCAGTTAGCAATTGTATTAAAAATCTACAATTATGGATCCTTCTACACTGAGTACTATTAAAGGTAGCAATTCCTGAAAAGCCTTACAAGAAAGGGAAGACACCTTATTATTTTACATGCTGATTCTGAAGGTTTTGTAGAAAATGCATTATTGGTTTTTGAAGGTAAAAAGATGGGAGATTACCATGAAGAGATGAATTCCGAAGTATTTTAGAAAAAAATAATTTTATTACTGATTTTTTAAAACTAGAAATTGATGAATTTCTAACCAAAATGATTAAAATGTAACTAAATATTCAAGCAAATTTTATTTATTAGAATGGAATAAAACTATTTACAAAATTGGTATAACATTTAAAACACCATCCACTACTTTAGGGATAATCTTAATTTGGCACAATGAGTTAACATTATTTTCACAAAAAATATTTTAAAAATACTTAAAATTAATACATAGGTATGTATGAATAGTTCACTTTAAAAAATATATGTTGACATGTAGTGTTATGAAAATGTTGGTTCCAGTTTTCAAAACAAATTCTGACTCATAGGCCTGTAAACTTTTGAATGCCTTTATTTGCCCTCTAGCGCATTAACCATGGGTTAACACTAAATAAGCCATAATATCCACATTACTCATAGAAGAGATACCAGTTACTGTGTGATCCACTTGTCATTCACTGATTAACTTTTACTTTTTATACCTATAACAAATATATCCTTTTAAATGTAAACATATCTTTATATTTTATACTAACCTGGCTACATCTGGATATTCCATTAACAATTTTCTTAAATATTTATTATCCATTTTAAAAAGATCATAGTTATTCTCAAAAAGTCGATTTCAAAAGCAAGAAAAAAGTATTTCTGACATCAATCAACAACCATATTGACTTTAATTTGACAGTGACATTTCGTTTTAGACACACATTTCAGATCACAATAATGTGAAATTTGCGACCGTTGTCTGGGACCAATTAAAAAATTACTTCTATGACATTTATTCGTTTCTTAACCGCTCATTGGCCGTTCACCGACTAAGGCCGATAAAGATAATTATTTCATAAATTTTGAACACTACTATATTTCGAAACTCTCTCTTAGTAACAAATCTAGTTACTTTTCCCTGTGTAAATGCGTCTTTTCAATTCGCTCCTCCTAGTTTAAAAACAGAGTATAGTAAATTTTGTTTACTAAGCTAACCTAAGCTAACTAGATACCAATATCCCCTCGTATGTAGAGATTATTTCCAAAATTAAATTATTTTTATAATTTTAACAAAACAAGGCGATGTTTAATCGTTGATAAACAAATATGAGAGAAAATATGGAGGAAATCAATATTATTAGGTAAAAAGCCAACAGGGTATAACTTAGAACGATCGAATAAAGGCGGCTCTATGGAGGAGATCACACCACGCTATCTGAGGCACCGTCAGATGGATATGACATCGTGCATCTTTATGCAAATTTACATATTGTGAATACTATTCTGATGATATTCCATGCCACGCCACGAGACTACATTGAACATGTTGTGAATCCCGACACATCGCATAGCGTGGTTTCGTAATTTAACAGTGTATCATACTTTTAAACTGACTGAAAAAATTAACGAAATCATGTTGATTGAGAATGATTGGGCATTAATGTCTTTTTTGTATGAAATTAGAGACCAGAATATGAGAGGAGCAGTACTGGAAGAAAATGCATGGGAAATGAAAACAACCGGTAAATATACACATATTGAACCCTAAAATAAAACTATTTTATTTTTCATTCTTCTAAAATTAATAAAGTTGCTGTACATTTCATTACTGCATCCCATTCATAAGATGAAATACTACTCTCGATGAGTTCTACATGATTTTTGGCTTAAAAATTTAAAAGAAACGTAACGTGGAATAGAAACAGTGTGCACACATAGTGCATCTGACGCATCATGTTAGATGGTGTGGCGTGGTGTAGTGTCAGAACAATATGTCCTTGCCTTAAGGATAATGACTCCCTCCGAAAATTCTCCGCCTTGCAATCGATAAAGTAATGTATGTTTGTTATAAAATTACAATTTTTTAAAATGTTTTGTCTTTTATATCGAAGTATAAAACACTTACAAACTACATAGCAACAATGAACCGTTACCCTCTCCTATTAAAAAGTTTACAGCAAATTTAAAAAAAAAAATCTTCAGACACGTCGAATTTTTGATGAAGCAGAATTAAATTATATTTTATTTTAATTGAATTAGTAATAAATTTAAATTGAATAAATTGAAAATTCGGAAACAATCTCAAAAATCCCCCTACGAATTATTAAGACCATCCCTGAACCTTAAAGGTGAAAACAAATATTTGGAGATTTGAAAAGAAGCATGTCGTCGCCGGGATTCGAACCCAGACGTTCTTGTTCTCCAGGCAAATGCCTTTTCCTCTAGACCATCAACGACATTGACTGTCGAGATTCCTAGACGGAAATTTGATGTGCTGGTTCGGACCAGACGACGTTCAGGCTCGTTCTCAAATCATCAAATTTTTTGATATCAGAGGAGAATCAAAAACGCTTTCAACCAGACTTGCAAAAAACAGTCAGTTTTGAGGTGGTTCTGTTCAAGGGCCAAAATAAAAGATGAAATGTTTACAGCAAAAAAACGACATGTCTGATGAATTTCTCGAACTCAAATGTGTTAATATATTAGGAAGGCAATACTTGTAGTTTAATAACGAACAACAAAGCATAAAGGTGGAATATATGTCTGTTCATATGAAAGTAATTTGCATAGCATTACAGCCCGGCGTCAAAAACAATAAAAAGAACTATAGTAAAATAACTTGTGTTCACAATAGAGGAAATATCGCTTTTTTCAGATCCCGATAAAATATAAATTAAAAATATATTACCTATGTGTTACAGGACTAATATAGTCCATAAGTACATACGCCGTTATGCTTTGAAAATGAAAAAATATTCCATTCAAAATGAACGATAAAACTAATTTGTATCCAATTTTTTCATTCGCATCGAAATCCACCATTAGCAGCGTCGCGGGTATTTGTACTATTATACTAGCTATACTAGTATAGAATTGAAGCTCGGCAGGGCTAGAAAAAAAATATTTATAATAAAATTTGGCACAGGGAAAGGTGTTATCAATGAATTAATAAGCAAAATATGTGAAAAAAACAAATACAATCCTATTTAATTGCACTTAAAAGATAACAGAACGTTTAAGTCTACCAAATATTCTAAATAACAATTAATATGAAAATAAACATTAAATTTAATTACTGATAAAATTACAACTGTACAGTAATAAAAATAATAAAAATGCTTTAAAATGATGGGTGCAATGTCTGTAATGCCAGAAAAATTTGATACTATATACTGTTTATATATATAAAACCAAAGGAACACTAGTGATTCACCCTGTATGATGAATCTATCGTTTACAAAAATAGTATGCTCGATACAGGTTTCTTTTTTGTTATTATGCAATCAGCAAGATATTATCATCGGTATTTCCAATTACCATCTGACCTTAAAGAATGTTGCATAAATTATGCATTTTAAATAAAAGTGAAAGTGTACAAATACCTACAATACGATTTTACATAAATTGCAATTAGACAGTTTTATTTTAATTTTTTATTAAAAGTTTTAAACTATTTTATATTATTTTATCTTTTTATAGTTGTTTTAAAATAATTCTCTTATAAATTACGCAATAAAATTTTGATAGAAAATCCCATATAATTAATAAGAAACACTTATTTGATGAGCTAAAAATAAAACTGAATAAGAAAACTCCCAATAGGAACTTAAAATTTTACCATTAACAAATAAAAAATGATTTTAAAAAAAGCCAATATGGTGTATAGGTGACGAATTGTTGCATTAAAGTTTTCTTAATAGAACTCAAATAGTCAGAATAAAATATCACCTAGTACCACTTTTTTATTATTTACTGATTCTGTTTTCCACTCGGTTTTTCTCATTTGTTTGAAAATCTCATTGAAATAGTAAAAAAGAGTAAAACACATTAAGCTTATAGGCTGCAGTGTTATGGGGAGAAAGTCAGAAAAGTGCAGGAAAAATGAAACTCAGTTATTTTAATTGTCAAAATAGTACAATTTTCTTATTTCTTGCAATCCTAACCAATCATTGAGTTTTATACTGATTAAACTGCCTTCCTCGTTTTGTTTTTTTTTATAAAACTGTGTTTGTCTTTTGAACTGACAACTATAAATACAATCTAGCAACTTTTATTAAAGTAAAATGTACTTCAAATCTATGTTAACACCCAAATTTCAAAATTATTGTCAATTTTACTGCACAAAAATAAATCTGTAATATTTATAATATAAATTAACCTCTTTGTATGTTTATGTTTAATCATTTTAATACTCATAAAACCAATTCACTTATAATCAACGTTTGTAAATTAAACTCATTTTTTGAATACCTAAATTAACTAAATTAAACAGATCCTAATCTTATAGTTTAAGACATGGAAATCACAAAAACTTTGGCAAATGTCAAACTAGTGAAAGGCAAATAACCTACACATGTAATGCCTGGCCATTCCATCTAACAGAATATGCTGTTGCTGTATCTATTATTTTTTTACTATAAAGGAAATTATATTACTATATAAAATAAACAAATATTTATATGTTTAAAAAAGACTTCCAAATATGTTTGTGTCTTTTTCATACAAAATGATTCAAAAAATATTATTTTCAAATACCCCTCGTCCTGATATGACGAAACAAGAAACCAGAATCTTGGCCTGATTACAGACAATCTGACGGATCATTGCCAAGTACGGAAGCATCTCCATATCATGAGGCTGTCAGAATCTGAAATCTGCAGGGGAAGCAAACAAAATGAGATAATCTCTTGTTGTATTGGCAACGTTGTCAACTACATTAAATCTGTAGGCTGGCTCACGAGCTAGGAGATACCTATCATCTTTAGAGGATGCACAATGGGTCTACTGAAGCCTAAGTGCTGTGCCCACCCTCCACACGTTACAGGTACCTCTCGGCCTTTCGAATTTTATCTATTAAATTTTGAGTTTCCGTACTCAAAAGCATTTAATTCAGACAAAACCACTTAAATGGTTTTTCCAAATAAAGACGTTTTCTTGAAAATGTAATGGATAAAATTTGATAAAATCTAAAAGCAACTTACGTGTACTTAAATTTGTCCCCAGATATGAGCATCTTTGAATAAACATTCTGTACACATTCAGTGACATTTGTAGCCATGGCTGCCATAAATCCTGTCAATTCAAAACTGACTTCATTTATGGAACACAACGCTAATCCTGACATCACTGGAAGGAGACTTAAATTTACATATAAACCAGTTTGTTCTCCTAAAAATTAATAAATCAGTCATATAAATTATTAAAAAAAAACCTTATTATCTATCTACCAAATTTTAAAACGAATTTTCATTGAAATATGTAGATAAACTCTTTGGTAAGTGAAAAAATGATCAGTATCAAAAGGTCGAAAATGAGAACAGATCAAACAAAAAATTATCGAAATCTTATATGATCGAAATTACAAATGATCAAAATCAGATATAATCAAAAGTACAAATGATCGAAATCACATGTCTGAAAGTGCTAATAATCAAAACGATATGTGATGGAAATGGTAGGAAGATTAAAATCATTATATTACAAAATTAGTTTTTTAAAGTTTTTCATTTTATGAATATTTTTTTAGCGAAGCAAATCGCGATGGCTCCAGGCAGGACAGATTAGGTATATTAGTTTTTTTTTATTAGAATATTGGAAAAATATTTTTATTTTATTTACAATATTTTACATTTAGATTCAACCATCTGAGTTCATGTACTTTACTATCTCAGTTCATATTTGTTCTATTATTTTTTTGTTATTTTTAGATCAATAAGCCATTAGCTGTAGGGTGCTGGATTGATTATACTGGTCATTAGCTGTCATGGGCCGAATTGATGACACTGGTTGTCTGGATTTGACCCATGGACCATAGTTTAAAGACTCCTGACCGAGACTTTCACTGTTTTTGTACTTTATTTAAAATTTCGATGAATTCACTTCTATCATTTATCCCTTCAACCTATTGACTTTTGATAATGTTTCCATTCACCAAATATTTTACCTTTAAGACATTTTCTTAGTCTTATTTACAAAGATCAAATATTTGCTTACCTAGTAAAAGTCTGGAAATCAATACTGTAAAAAGAGGTGCAGAACTTTTTATAGTTTCTGTAAAACTTACAGCAACATAATTTAAAGCTATTAAACCAAGTACAACTGTGAAAAACCTAGAATAATAATTGAAAACATAAATTTGGAATTCAAATAGCAAATATTAGTAAATATACCTAAAGCACCCAACTAAAACCATATGTCTAAAAAATCCTGGTGGTTTACTTAAACGCTGTGTAGGTTTGTACATTCCACATGGGAAATATAATTGAATAAATCCACAAGTTGCAGTCATCAACATCTGACATGCAGCTATAAAAAACAAATTAACTCTTTTTTATTACTATCTTACTTGTAATTATTTATTTCTTTAAAAGATTACTGCACTGACTAACGCCAAATAAATTGAAAAACCAAATATATTAAAAGATCATTAACATGATTGTTTTACCTAATATAGCGGGGTTACCATTTTCATAGCTCAAAATATATTTATTCAGAAACAATGTACATCCGCTAAAAAAATACCACAGTAATAAAAATGTTACTGCTCTAATACTCGTAAGTCCCTTTTTATTATGTTTTTCTATAGATATTTCTTTCTTCACATTATTTTCTATTTCCTTAGTTGTCACTAGAAGTTGCTGTTTTTCCATTCTAACATTACCAAAGCTATTCTATTTAAATTATAAAGTTCCTGATAGACTCATATAAAAATCTTAACAATTAAATATTCTTGTAACTATTTACCGGACTTTTTCTGATATTTGTGAATAGTAAACGTAAACGTAAATATTATTCAAATGACATTTTTATTTTTGAAGGTTTTCCTTTCGCCTTCGACACGTTCTTCTTTTTTGTTTGTTGAGTTTAATAGTAGCTCTATGTCAAATGACTCAAATGATAAGAGGCTACAGAATCATAGAAGAAGAAACATATCCATCTGGATAGCTATTCACTAAGTCATGGGAGCGCTCCCATGGGAGTGCTCCCATATATTTTGCTCTCTTACTCTTAGGTGGGTATATCGTGCTTACTCACTTTTAGCCCAGGTACATGCGTAGTAAGGTCAGATTTTATACTATGAGAGGGAGAATTGATTAGGTCCGTATTTATCACAAAGCAAATTTGAACTACTAAGGGCCGATTCCACCGTTGAGTTAAACGGAGATTAAAATGACATTGTTAATGTAAAAATGTCATTTTAAACTTCGTTTAACACAACGGTGGATCGGTCCTTAAATAGTAGATAAAAGTTATTCTGTCGACTTGGCAATGTTGGCATGGGAGTATGGGAGTGTGGGAGTGCTCCCATGAGTTAGAGAATAGGTATCCTGGGGGGCAGGGCTGGTATTGGGGGGCTATTTTCAAACTCGAGAGAATTCATTTCTCTCAAGAGAAATGTCATACGTCAACGTAAAATCGTATTTTTAGGGCTCTTAGGGCCAGTGTGAACTCACTGACTGCTTCTCTCGGTTTATTTAGAGATAATTAAAATCGTCCTAAGAATTTTAATCCTCGATGACCTCGATGCCTTTAAAAACAACATTTCCACATTGACGTATGACATTTCTTATGAGAATCTTGAGAGAAATGAGTGCTCCCATACTTTGAAAATAGCCCCCCTGAGTACGTGATCTGTGGCAAGCCGAACACAAAAGAGTACGCTCTGAGCTGAGTGCCAAGGCGACCACAATCGAGGCATACCGAGTGCACTCTGAGAACAGCGAACGCCAAACCGAACTTAGCCTGTGATAGAGTAAGTGTTCTGTGCCTGTGATTCTGTTTTTGTTTCTGTGTCTGTGTGGTTTCTGTACAAGAAAGAAGTTTGGTTATGTAGCGTTTAATTTTGAATTTAAATACTTTTGTTAATGGATTATAATAGTCATACATAATTTTAATAGAAGAATGTTTCTTTTAATCATAACTACTCTTTTGAGTTTCATAAGTGTTCATTCTACTGTGCTAGGAAAACAAGTTAGATACTAATTTTATTTCGTAAAGTAGGTTGTAATTTAGTATTTTTGCAGGTTTTAAAATGGATCAACAAACCTTCCATTAAAGAAAAAGAACTGATGACTCAAAAAAACGAATTGAAAAAAGTACAAAATAGCATCAGCATCACAGACAATTTCGCCAAATATTCCAAAATACAAAGACAAATAAATAAGATTGATGAAAATCTTTCAGATTTTAGAAGTGAAAAGAACAATTTATATATTCATTTTGGATTAACTTATGGTTTACAAATTTTCTTTGCCATAGTGCTTGTCGGTTTATCTATTTACTATAGGTCAACACCAGTAATTGCAATTGACAAGAGTATAGATCTAACACCTTTTAGTTATTTAATCTCATATCCTCATTCAGAAAATGTGGTTTCATTTCATTTTTGGGTTTTATGTAGTTCAACAACTGCAAGATTAATAAAGTTGTAAGTAATAAATGTTTTATTTTCAAAAATTTCTTTTTGTAACTAGATTTGGATGTAATTCATAACAATAAATTAATCTGGATATCCTAGCTGTCTATTATTAATAACATATAGACAAATTATTATATTTTCAAAAGTGGCCAAATTTCTTATAATTACATAAGCTATCACAATCATCTCTAGTGTAGGCTTTCTTGACCTTTGTAAAGCAAACCCTAATTTTTTAAATGTCTATGCCTCTACTTTTTTTTAATAGTATCTAGTTCACTTCTGTTCAAATATATGTTAAATTTGCTTTCTATGACATATCATTACATTTTTAATCTTTGCCATTACCATACTTATTATAAATAGGGTCATGGTACTACTTATGGCCACCTTAAGGCAAATATGCTTTTGTGGGGTCGTATTTTTCAATAATATTGTAATAGAAAAAAATAAATAAAAATACCATTTGATAGGTTGAAGTATGATGTTTTCAACGGTATATGTATCTATTTTGTTAAGAGAATGTAATTCTTTTTTACATTTTTTTTTTATAAAAGTGGAAGAAATTCTTTACTTTCCATCAGTCCACCACTAGCTCTTCACTTATGGCCACTAATTTTTAAGTTTCATTTTTAAATATTAATGTTAGTGCATGTTTTTATTTTAAATTACATGTATGTACTTACTAATGATTTAGAATAGGGTACAAAAAATTAAAAATTTTGATAAAATATGAAATTTATTTTTCCTGAAAATGTTATAACCAATTTTCAACCTTGTTCTCGGTTAACAGTCCTACATCAGATATGGGAACAATAAAAATCTCATTTTTAATATATTGCCCTCCTAAGCCAAAAAGCGGTTTCTCAAAAAAAAGAACTGAATTTTTTGTTTTTTAACGGATCGTATATCTTGAAAAATACTGAACTAAGAAAAATAGTAAAATCTCAATCAAAACCTAAGACAAATTTACATATCTCCACTTCACTTATATTTACTAAAAGGCTTAGGTGTATGCCATTATTACTAAGCTAAATGACTGCATATCCATTTATGACTCAAGAATTAATATTCAAAAACAAGAAATAATGATTTAAAGTAATCCAGGGGTACCTAAATATTTTTTTTTTCAACTCGAGGTAACAAGAAGACAACTTTTAGAAAATGCACATTTTCTCGAAACTCGCTTCAACTGAGATACTACTTTTTGGCTTAGGAGTAGTAGTTTTTTCTTTGTTTGTGCTTTTTAAGCACTGGATTTCTATTTAATTTTCTGTAGTAAAACATACAGTTGCAACTTATTTATGGGCGGTCGATCTTCTTTTACCACAGGCTTTAAATGGTACTGCTGTCAGATGCCAGTGACATTTCACATTCTTAGCTAAAAAACTCAATTGCTACCTACCTCAACCCACACAATAACTGCAGTGGCCATAAGTAAAATATGAGATTCTAAAAGTAAAAAGTGGCCACCGATGTGACCATAACTCACGAATTCTTAATTTTTAGTCATTACTAATGGACTCCCTGATATTTATTTAAATAAATATATGATTTTGAAAACAAAATACAATGGTATTAACATCTACTTACAGTAAACGCCAAATCTAAAGAACCAAGGACGCGCATTTATAATGCTACGAACACGCCTACCGATGAATAGAATTGGTAGCTTACCTAGAAAGTTGTAAACCAGGGGCGCGTATATTTTAAGACAAAATAAATGGAAAATAGTGAATGATGCTTGTTCATACATATTGCTTAGTGTTATTATTAGTACATAATTCTATAGTCAATTAAAAAATCATTATTTTTAGGTAAGCAGACTATAGGTTAAGGAAAGCTCTGATGGTCTAGTATTTTGCATTTTAACTGACATTATTTTTTTTATAAACAAAATATGAAATAATATGTGTATGAAGTAATATATCCTTCCGATTTTTTATACCGGTTCATATGTCTCATATAATGTTCATATGTCTTCATCAGATTCTTCATTTGAAGAAGACTCGTCACTGGTATCCTCATTAGGATTAATGACGATAGGATTAATTTCCGAACATAAATCAGTTTGTATTTCTCTTTCAAAATATTTATCTTCTACCTTTATAACATGATCGCATCGCTTTTTCCATTCCTCCATACCGATTTTGTTAAATTCTTCTTCTGCTAATTGTTTTACGTCTTCTAATTTAAAGGCATTATTCTTAACAGTTGCCCAAATCAATTCGATATGGTTCAAGTCGGGGTGATATGGGGGTAACCGTAAAGCGGTGTGGCCGTATTCTCGACACAACTCATCAAATGCATATGTTACATTTCGGTCCTTATGAGATTTAATCAGTTCGTATAACTCTGGCTTCATATATCATATCATGCTCTCGAACGTAATGTCCTGAATAGTGAATTTTATCTGTGCTCATTGTTAAATAAGAAATTTATTGGTTTAAGTTCAAGTTATAATAGTGTTTTTGATATCCAGTGAAAGGGTAAAAAATAACGCACCAAACGTGATAATGGATTGCCTTGACGAGGTAAATGACCTAACCGAAATACATATTATGTCCTTAAAGGACATGAAAAACTCAATTTCTGTTCTTGAGCAAGAAAATTCATCGCTGTTTCAAGAACTAAAAGCGCTGACAAGTCTGGTGGACAATATTCAAAAAGATAACAACTCAACTACACCAGCTACACCGCAATTTTTACTTCGAGATAAACCTTCCTCATCGGCTCGAAAACCCCAACTTTTAATCTTGGGTGATGAAAATGCAAGAGTCAAGTAGTTAAACACATTACCAACAGCCACTACGATATTAACTGTCAGTGGTCAGCAAAATCTTCATTTGGGGACCGTATAAAAATGTGCCTTAGGTACATTTCAAATTTTAATGACCAAGATATCGTTATCCTATTTACCGGCGATGACAATCCTCGGAAAGGTAAACCCATAGCTACAGAGTCACTTGAAACCTTACTTCAGGAAAGTTGCAGAACCAATTTGTTTATTTGCGGATCTCCACAAAGATTTAATCGCAATATTCTTTACAGATTCATCCAACAATTTGACCTTAAAATTCAATCTATGCTTCGTAATTTTGAATTCTGTCAATTTATACCTTCGAAAGTTTTTTCATATGATGGTCTAATGTCGTCCAGTTACCAGAAGCGAGAACTCATAAAACTAATTATTTTTACTTTAAAGAATCTTCAAAATAAAAATAATCTTCCTGTTAGTTGTACTTTAATAGAAACTAACTTACCGATTACACAACAAAATTTTCTCAATACATCGAACATATCTCAAATCATGACTATACAACACACCAAAACCCCATTGCATTGAAGAATTCACCTCAATTCAGTGGTTACCAAACTACTATATATACTATCAAAATGTTAATGGACTACGAACGAAATCGGCTGATATTTTGAATAGTATATATTCTTGTAACTATGACATTATCCTTTTCAGTGAAACTTAGCTTAATGAAGACTTTCATAGTTAACTTTACCTCATGTTATAACTGACAAGATTGATACTCCAACATCTACACAATATAATGATATTTGGGTTAAGGCTAAAATAAACAATATCGACACGGTAATTGGATGTGTGTATATTCCTCCAAACTAGTCATTAGAAAGCTATTTATCTTTTTGCGATTTATGCGAATCTCTAAAAAGCAAAATTAAAAATCATAAATTCATAATATGTGGTGACTTCAATCTTCCACATGTCCAATGGGAACTTGAAGATAATTTTGTTGTTCCAACTAGAATCGAACCTGCTACCGCCGAGGCTTTGATTGATACAATGTGTTTCCATAAACTCAATCAAATAAACTATGTTTTCAATTTGCTCCAACGGATTCTGGATCTTATATTTGTGGACGAGTTTGAATCAATTGAATGCAAATCTAGCGATTTTTCACTGGTTAAATTGATCCTCTACATCCCCCACTTTTGGTTAACTTCACGAATAAAACACCTCGCTTACTCAGAGATAATAAACCAGTTAATGTACAACAGTTCCATAAAGCCAACTTCACTGGTCTAAACAATTTCTTTATAAACACTGACTGGTCATTCATAACTCATTACCATGACATCAACGAAATTGTAAAACAATTTTCCAACATTATAGAAATAGGTATCGACCAATATGTCCCAAAGAAGAAGATAAAAGGTAACAAATTTTCCTGTGTGGTTTGACTCTGTATTACGCAAATTGATTGTTGAAAAGAATAAGCTCCATCAAATATATCAAAGGACTAAGCTTCAAAGTGATTACATTAAATACTCCATTAAAAGGCGCGAAGTAAAATTTCGAACTGACTGGTGTTACTTAATGTTTATTTCGAACTCCGAGCACTTAATTCCACAAAACAAACCATTTTTGGACATTTATTAAAAGTTTGCAGCGAGAGTATGGATTGCCTAATTTAAAGAGGTACGGAAACCATGAACTCAGTGATCCTGAAGAAATTGCAAACGCCTTCGCATCTTATTTCCAAACGTGCTATTCTAAAGACGACTTAAACCGAAAAATTGATCTTCCCGCTGTGCCATTTTATTCCACTTTAGCCATACACTTTCACTCCTTGTGAAGTATCTTCTAAAATAGAAAGTCTTGATTCTAGTAAAATTGCGGGTCCTGATGGGGTACCACCGTCGTTCTTGAAGGGGTGCTGTGACTCTTTGTCAATCCCACTTAGCTAAATTTTCCAAAAATAATTTGATAGTGGAATATTTCTATCTGCGTGAAAGTTTTCCCACCTTATGCCAGTTTACAAGAAAGGGGATAAAAGCGATATAAAGAATTATAGAGGTATTTCCATTATATCGATAATTCCAAAACTATTTGAATCCTTACTAACAGATGAAATGTTTTACACATATGAAAACTATATCTCACCTCAACAACATGGCTTCTATCAAGGTCGCTCGACATCAACTAATCTGGCAATCTATCAAGACTTCTTAATATCATCAATTGAAAATGGTTACCAGGTTGACACTATCTACACCGATCTGTCAAAAGCTTTTGACAGTGTCGGTCATGATTTGCTACTCAAGAAACTTTCCGAAATCGGTATCTCTGGTTCTTATTTTTACTGGATTAAATCTTATTTGAGTAATCGGTCAACGTGTTATAGTGCATAATTCCGTATCATGTGACGTTTCAGTCCTATCCGGTGTTCCTCAAGGTTCACATATAGGTCCCCTATATATTGTTTTCCTTATTCTTTAATGATGTTACGTCCTGCTTTCTTAATAGCCAATGCCTGCTTTTTGCGGATGATTTAAAGTTTTTTAGTAGAAACACTGGTAATAACTCCGCATTACAGTCTGACCTAAACAGGTTTGCTACCTGGTGTAAAAATAACGCTCTTTCTATAAATATTTCTAAGTGTACAACCATGCTTTTACAAGATCCCACAATCCTACTCTTAACTGTTACAGTATTGACAGCGTCAACCTAGATAGATCTTCGACAGTTATTGATCTGGGCATTATTTTTGATACCACAATATCTTTTAACAACCATATAGATTCGATAGCCATAACTCATGTTATCAAATAAGATTAATGCTTTGCGGCATGCAGAGCCTGGAATGCAGAAGAAAACAGACTCCTATTCCTGACTAAATTAATAGGTGGTTCCATCAAGTGCGGGTAACTGCTTAGAGAATTCAACTATTGGTTCCTGTCCGACGGACTCGGCACACATCACTTTTGAATGTAAAAAGACACAGAACCAATTACGGACAAAGTGCATTTATTGATCGCTTGTGCAAGAACTATAACAAATTTTACTCAGACTGTGATATATTTAATTGTAATATTTTGGCGCTGAAAAGGAACTTGCAACTCCTGAATGTCTAAGTTTTACTCGTGTCGTCCCGCTGTATTGTGTTATTTTTCCCTTTCTCAATATTTTATATATATTTTTTAATTTATTTTATATTGTTTTTAACTCTATAATTATTTGTGTTATTTAGAATTTTACATTCTGTATGTGCTACATAAATAAATAAAATAAATAAATAAAACTTGTTGGATTAAAAGGAATGTTATATTTTGTCAACCATTCGATCATATCATTCGTCAAAGAATTGGAATTAGGTGCTGTAACCTACCGCACCCAGGTACTTTAATAATTTATTAATTCCATTTATTAAATACAATATTGCATTCTTTTAAATTCAAAATTCTTCATTTAACGAAAAATCTCCCAGATAATTAAACCTTATTTACGACACCTAATAAATAATATCTATAACCACGTCCGTAAAAGATGCACGTGGCTGAGTTCCTCGAGAAAGAAAACACCATAAAGTGTATTTCTGTTTACGAAGTAATTATCATTAAAACACTTAAGTCGCTTATTTTCCTAGTTTCGATGTTCAGACCGATATCGACAATATTTCGATACACAAAACTTTCAAGGCAAGTAATAAATAACCCACCCCCTTTTGCACCTACATTCGTATTTTCTATGAGAAACAAAACGATAGAGACGTCACAGAAACGATTAAACTGTGTATAAAAAGTCTGACGAAAATGAGCTCGGATTCATTCAATTTTTATCATTTGATGTGCAAGCATACATATTATTATCTGTACCCAGTTATATAATCTGTACCTTTCCTAAATGCTCCTCCTAAACGACGTCTATCCTACAATACCTCCTATCCCCGACGGTGTCAACGTCTCGACGCCCAACTTCCTGCCATCCTACTCCCTACGTCTCGAACGCTGTCACATTCCTCACCATCTAAGTATTTCCTACCGTACACTCATTTCGACGCTCAACGTCCCACGCCTTATTTCCGACGCTTTGCCGTCCATAATTATTTCCTTCATAATATCACGTCCCGCACCACCTACTTAATTCTACCGTATATCTGTCCCAATACAGTACCGTAT